AAAAAGGCAAGAATGGTTTATTAATGTCCTATATTAGAATTAAATATGTTGGTAGGTCAAAGTGGAAAAGACATGATCATCTCTGAAGAGACTGAGAAGACATTTGATAGATTCACATTTCATATATTCTTTTTTTTTTTATTTTTAGAGAGAGAGAGGAAGGGAGAGGGAGAGAAAGAGAGAAACATCGATGTGACAGTGAAATATTGATCAGCTGCCTCCTGCACGACCCCACCAGGGATGAGCCCACAACTCAGGCACGTGCCCTGACCTGGAATCAAACCAGCAAACTTTCAGTGCACAGGACAACGCCCAACCAACTGAGCCACACCGGCCAGGGCTCACCATATAGTCTTGATTAGAAAATAATAATAATAATTCTGCCCTGGCCGGTGTGGCTCAGCGGTTAGAGCGTTGGCCTGCGGTTCAGAGAGACCCGAGTTCGGTTCCCGCTAAGGGCATGTACCGTGGTTGCAGTTTGTCCCCGGCCCCGGTTGCGTTGTGTGGGTGGCAGCCACTCGATGTGTCCCTTTCACGTCGATGTTTCTCTCTCTCGCTCTCGCTCTCTCTTCCTCTCTCTCCCTCCCACTCTATCTGAACAACAAAAAAGAAAAAAATGTCCTCAGGTGAGAATTAAAAAAAAATTCTTAGTACAATTGGCATAAAGAAATAGTTTCAAAATATTTTATGCTAAAACAACATCATGCTTAATGGTGAGACACTGGAAACATTCCCATTAAAGTTGAGAACAATAATTCTAGGGGTACATTAGGAGTAATTGGATAAGAGAAAGAAATGAGAGGTATAAATAAGAATGAAAGGCAAAACTGTCATTTTTGTGAACAACATCAAGATCATCTAAACTATGAAATCTAATTAGAAAGTTTAGTATGGTTGCTAAATAGAGATCAATACATGTAAAACGTCAACAATCTTGTTGTTTATAATTACAATAAAAGATGTAACTTAAGCCTTGGCCAAGTGGTTCTATTGGTTGGAGCATCATCCTGTACACTAAAAAATTTCAGGTTCAACCCAGGACACATACCTGGGTTGTGGGTTCGATCCCTAGCCCAGGTGTGTATGGGAGGCAGCTGATCGATGTTTCTCTCTTTATTGATGTTTCTCTCTCTTTCCCTCCTTCTTCTCCCTCTAAAATCAATAAAACATATCCTTGGTGAGGATTAAAAAATAAAAATGAAAAGAAAATGCCATTTCCAATTACAACAAAAACCATCACGCAAGAACACAAAGAACTGAATAAACAGAAGGCTTTGCTATCTTTATGAGTAGACAGTCTCAAAATCATAAAGTGAAAATTCTTCTTAAATATTTAATAAATTCATGCAATTCCATAAACGATTTTATAAAACTTTTTGCTTTCAAAGAATTTGACAAGCCGATTCTAGATTAATATGGAAGTATTAGGGCAAGACTTCCAATGCAATATAAGAACCATGAGAGCAGAGATGTTTGTCTATTTTGTTTAATTCCATATTCCAGAGTGTGGAACAGTGCCTGCCACCTAATAGGTGCTCAAGAAATATTTGTGAACAAATGAATGACAACTTAGAAGAAGAAGAGAAGGAGGAGAGTTTTACCCTATCAAATATTAAGGCCTACAATAATGTTAGACTATATGATAGGCTCAGGGGTAAATAAATAGGCCAGTAAAACAGAATATAGAATTTAGAAGCAGATCCAAATACATATGAAAACTTGTTATATACTAGAGGAGTCATTATTAACCAGTGAGGAAAGGATAGACCATCTAAATAACCATGCTTAAAGAATTGGCTATTTAGTGCTAGCTTGGGCAGCCCATATACTAAAATTGGAACGATACAGAGAAGATTAGCATGGCCCCTGCGCAAGGATGACACGCAAATTCGTGAAGCGTTCCATATTTTTAGGAATGGGGTAGTCCCAGAGACGTGGAAGTGGGGTACAGACTGACAATCCCCAGAAGAGGGGGTAGGGGGGGAGAGCTAAACCACAGAACTTATATGCATGTATGCATGAACTATGGACATGGACAACAAAGCTGGAGACAGGGCGGGGTGGGAGGGGGGAACCAGTGGGGGAAAAAGGAGAAACATCTGTAACAAAAATAAATTAATTTTAAAAAATTGGCTATTTATATGAAAAATATAAATCCTGAAAATGTTAGATCCTTATCAATATCAATTACAATTTGCATTCTGCAACAAGTATTATGAAAATGACCTAGCCAGCCTGGCCAGTGTGGCTCCGTGGATTGAGCATCCTCCCATGGACTGAGAGGTCCACATGCGATTCCTGGTCAGGGCATGTGCCTGGGTTTGGTGCTTGATCCCCAGGCGGGGGCATGCAGGAGGCAGCCAATCAATGTGTCTCTCTCACATAGATGTTTCTATCTCTCTCTCCCTTCCTATCTCTCTAAAAAAATCAATATAAAACATTTTATTTTATTTTTTTTTATCCTCATCCAAGGACATTTTCCCATTTTTTTTGTTCAGATAGAGTGGGAGGAAGAGAGAGAGAGAGAGAGAGAGAGAGAGAAACATCGACATGAAAGGGACACACTGAGTGGTTGCCATCCGCACAACCAACCAGGACCGGGGACAAACTGCAACCGAGGCACGCGCCCTTAGCGGGAACCGAACCCGGGTCTCTCTGGACCACAGGCCAACGCTCTAACCACTGACCCAAACTGGCCAGGGCCAATATAAAACATTTTAAAAAAGGAAAGTGACCTAACCAGAAATGAATTTATTTTTGCTGGAAAAAGGAGTTCTAGAAATAAACTAACAAAATTTAAATTAAAAATAAACAAAAATGTCCAGAGGGAGGATGGTGCAGCAGCCCCACAATGTCATTAATGCTCCAGATTCTTTGTCTGTCTGTCCCCCCACAGTCCTTAGCTTGTCACCTCATGGTGGCAAAGGGTGATTCACCTCTAACTCACATCCATTTTTCAGAAAAGCAGAAGTGACACAGATAGTGTCAGAGCCAAACCAGGTTTGTCTGACTCCAACATCTACTCTGCCTGAAACACTCTTACTTACACTTCTGATAGAAGAGCTCCTACTCGCCTCTCATTAATCATTCATTCAGCACCTTGTGAATGAATCTTATGCTGACCATACTGTTTTCTAATTATTTATGTGCCTGTCTCCCAGTCCTCCCATAACACATCTCTCTAATTGAACTCTCCCCACCCCCACCCCACCCCAGCTGAGCTCCATCTGTGTTCCACAGTGCCCAAGGCACAGAGCAGGCATCAGGAGAGTTCTGTAGAATTGGGGGTAGGAAAGGTCAGACTGGGTTATGTTGTTTATAGAAACGTCTTTCTTAATGACTAGAAAACAGTGCCAGGCATCATTTTATTTGTGAAACTCAAATCAAATCACCAAGAGGCAAAGACCCAAGTAGGAGGAAGTCCAGCAGATAATTGACTAATCAGAATTGTCTTCTCATCCTGTTTGATTCTAAGGTTTGAAACAACAACAGAAAAAAGAAAGAAAGAAAGAAAGAAAAAAAAACCCAGCTGTGTTTTGCAATTAGTTCCCAATAAATGACTTTTTCCCCCAGAAACACCAATGCCCCTGGCTTAAATGATGCTAAAAATGCTGTCCATATGTTGGAGAGAAACAGAGCTGAAGGCTAGAGAATGTATCTAGGCCTAGGGAGTAGAAGACAGTGAATGAGACATAAATGGAGAGACATCAAGGAAAGACATAAAGGTACTTGGAAGAACAAGAGGTCTTCCTGGAGAAGGTGTCCAAGTAGCTGGCCTTCTTGAGAAGCTCCACCTATGGGTTTCCTGGGTGGGTTCTTTGAATACTAATAAGCCACCATTTATTGAGCCATTGCTATATGCCAGATGTCGTGGTAAGTGCTTTTAGTGCATTTTCTCATTTTCATTCTTAGAACAACCTTGCAAGTTCATAATTGGTATCCCCATTCTAGATGAAACTAAAGGTCAGGAAGTTGCAGTGATATGCCCAAGGTCATACAGCTCAGAAATGCAAAAGCTAGGATTTGAATCCCCATGGAATCAGTTTGACTCAAAGCTTTTGCTCTGAGTCCCTAACTATCTTCATGAAACCTCTTTGAAGTAACCATTATTACTTCTACTTCACAAATGAGGTAACTGAGGCCCAGGGATGACCCAACTTGCCCAATGATACGGATAGTTAGGTGTCAGAGCCAAATCAGGTCTGTGTGACTCCCAAATCTACTCTACCCCCCAGCTAGAGGAAGACCAAAAGCCAGGGGTCAGTAACATGCCAGAAAGCCCCTACATGTCAGGTCCTATCTTTTCCTAGGACACTGCCCCTTTGTTTCCCATCCACCCCAACCTCACCACTTAGGCGCCTTCCAAGGATCTTCTTTTCACTGCCTCTCCCCAAGTATGGCCCCTGGGCAGAATGAACAGGGACTGGGTGGTTCTTGGGAGGCTCTAAGATACTCCTTCTCCCAAAGAAAAGAATAGCCAGGGTACCACCAGCCTGGGGGTCCCCATACCCACACATCTGAGCAAGGCCTGTGCATAAGACTGGTTAAGTGCTTGGATCCAGAGCCAGCCAAACTGGGTTCAAATTCAGCCTGGTGACGTTGGCCCATAACAGCAGCTCCCTTTTTAGTATCTCTCCTGGTCCTGGCCTGATAACTAAGTGGAACAACAAATCTATGTCTCTTTGTTCTCTCTCTTTCTCTAAAATAAATTTTTTTTTTAAAGTGTCTATCCTGGGACAGACATTTCACTAGGGTTTCCCGCCATGATTGGCCCTATTTTACAAAAGAGGAGCCTGAGGCCTCTGGAAGGGAAGCAACCAGCCTAAGGACAGCAAGCAGTCAGAAGCCTAGGACTTGAACCCACCCAGATTCTGCTGTTGCCTAGGAGCGGAGGAGGGAGGAGCCGCGGAGCGGAGGGAGGAGGGGAAAGAGAGAAGCCGAGCTCCCAGCAGAGCGCGCTGACGACAGCAGGTGATTTTTTTCTGCAGCGCGCTTTCTCTCAGCATCTTTCCTAGATTTTTTTTTTCCTGCTGAGCAGCAGAAAAGGGTGGGGCCGGTTCCCTGCAGCAGAGACGGCGGCGGCGTCAGCTGCAGCATCATTGGGAATAGCGGCAGAAGCAGCAATGCTCATTCTCCGCTGGAGGTGATCGCCTCCGAGCCGTGCTAGGTGGCCGGCTGCGACGGGACGCCGACGGGGAGGAGAAGAGAGACTTATCCGCGGACCTTTCGGCCACACTGCCCGGCCCTTCCTCTGCGCCATGGCTTAAGCCCGCGGCCACCTCGCCTCGCGTCGTCTGCCTTGGCCGGGGTCTGCGCGCCGCAGCCTCAGGGAGGGGCGCATCCCAGACGCTTTCTCCCGGGGACTCCGGGACTCCGTGTCTCTCACCCTCCGGTGCCTGCAGCAGACTGCGTTTCCAAGACCTTTGCAGGCGGCTCCCGCAGGCCTTTGCAGCCGGTAATCGAGGGACTTTAAATCAGTGATAGTTTTGCCGCCCGACCTTCCCGGGTGGTTTCGGAGGGAGGAGGGCGAGGTACTCAGGCCACCAAGGACAAAACGGTGGAAATCATATCGGCTGCTCGAGGGCCAAGGGACTGAAGGAAGATAAGAGACTTGCTTTAGCACCACAAAAAGAAAGGAGGACCGGCTTTGCAGCTAACATCATGGCGTGGCCGTGCATCACGCGGGCTTGCTGCATCGCCCGCTTCTGGAACCAGCTGGACAAGGCGGACATCGCCGTGCCTCTGGTTTTCACCAAGTACTCGGAGGCCACCGAGCACCCGGGCGCTCCTCCGCAACCGCCGCCGCCGCAACAGCAGCCGGCGCAGCAGGCGCAGCCGGCGCCCGCGCCCCCCTCGGCTCTGACCGTCGCCATAGAGACTCAGCCGGCCCAGGGCGAGTTGGATGCAGTTGCCCGGGCAACGGGGCCGGCGCCTGGGCCTAGTGGCGAACGCGAGCCGGCGGCCGCCTCGGGCCGGAGCAGACTGGGCCCCGGCCCGGGCTCCGGCTCCGGCTCCGGCTCGACCTCGGGTGCGGGCCCCGCGGACTCGGTGATGCGTCAGGACTATCGCGCCTGGAAGGTGCAGCGGCCCGAGCCGAGCTGCCGGCCGCGCAGCGAGTACCAGCCCTCCGACGTGCCCTTCGAGCGCGAGACCCAGTACCAGAAGGACTTTCGCGCCTGGCCGCTGCCGCGCCGCGGGGACCACCCGTGGATCCCCAAACCCGTGCAGATCCCCACGTCCTCCCAGGCTTCAGCGCCTATTCTCGGGGCTCCCAAGCGCCGGCCTCAGAGCCAGGAGCGCTGGCCGGTGCAGGTCGCCACTGAGGCCCCGGAACGGGCGGCGGCCTCTGGCGGAGCGGGTGTCGTCGGGGCGGGAGAGGCGATGCGTTCGGATGAGCGCTACACACGCAAGAAGGCCGGGCCGGCCTGGATGTTGCGTCGCGCCGAGGGGCTGGGACCCGAGCAGACGCTGCTGCCCGCAACCCAGGCCCAGGTCGTGGGCCCCGAGGGTGGTAAGGGGCGTGCAGCAGCTGACGCCCTCAATAGGCAAATCCGCGAGGAGGTGGCGAGTGCGGTGAGCAGCTCCTACAGGTGAGATGCGGGACACAGTTCATGCAACGGGGCTGGTCACCCCTACCCTCTACGGAAGACTGCCCAGGACTCATTCTCCACATCGCAGGCCTCACATTCAGCCTCCCCCTCCATTCCAGACCACACTGTCTCCCCAGCCCCATCCCAGGCACCGTCCCATGGCTGATTTCTTTCTGCTCTTTCTTATGTGATCTTTCCCGAGTCTGCTCAATCTTTCACTTGACCATTTCAGCCACCTTTTCCCCATCCTGCCCTGCCTCAGGTCCCTGCCCGCCCAACAAAGACCCTTTGCAATTTTTTTCACTGGCTGTGTTTCCATTCCGCCCCACCCAGCTTACCAGTTGCAGTAGTCTAGATGCTGCCCCTTGCAAGCCCAGTCCTCACCCATCAGCCTTTGTGCCTTCCCTCAGGGCCCCATCCTTCCAGAAGAAGAGTTCTTTCCCAGTGACCAATAACCTCTTCTGTAGTCCATTTCACTTGGCCTTTCATTATTCCTTCACTTCTCAGTCCCTGGAGATACCCAAGGATCCCTATAGATCATCCTCCTCATTCTACCATTGGGCTTTGAAGTCAGACTCCTTAGGTTTTTTACTATGATACACTGGGCAAGTTTCTTAACCTTTCTGGGCCTCAGGTTCTTATCTGATGTGATTGATGATAGACTGGTCTCTTAGAAGTGTTCACTCATTTATTAATTTAATAGTAAAAATATTTTTGAACACCTACTATGTGCCAGGCAATATACTAGACATTGTAAAGCTTAAATGAGATGGTCCAGGGGGAGAATTGTGCCTGGCACGTAGTAGATGATTAGTATTTTTATTCCATCCCAGCCTTTTACATGATGCCTCATTATTCTGATTTTCACTTCCTAGATATGTCCTGTCCAGCCTTCTCTCCTTTCTCCCGTCTCTTCATGTTCTCCAGATGTGTTGCACATTCTCTCACCACCAAGAACATCCTTTTTAGCACATTTAAATTCCCTGTGAATGAATGCATTCAAGCAAGGGTATAATCAATCTCTCTCTCTCTCTCTCTCTCTCTCTCTCTCTCTCTCTCTCTCCATTCTTCTAGAATTTCCCTCTGGTGTAGTCTCAGCCCTTCCAGCCTGCTTTCTCACCCTTCATACATCCAATATGTATTTTTAAATGTTTAGCTTTTAGACTTGCCCTTATTTTTCAACCTGAATCAAACAGCTAACAGATCACAGTTGACTCTAAACATGTCACATAGGGTTTTGAGGTCTCTGGGGAAGCAGATGTGCATGATGAATAATTGAAAGAATGGTATTCAAAATGTGGCTTATGGGGTCTTTCTTCAAAGCCACAGCCAGTTGCCTCCCGCCAGCTGGAGGGTGTGGCCAGGAGGACTGCAGAATTAGTGTCTTTTGCCAAGACTCTATGTGTAGCCTCATGTCAGACTCATGTCTTTCTCCAGTGAGCGTAACAATCACTTCTTTCTTTTTCCCCTTTTTAAAATTGATTTTAGAGAGAGAGGAAGGGAGAGATAGAAACATCGATGACAGAGAACATCGATTGGCTGCCTCCTGCATGCCCCCCACTGGGGATTGGGCCCACAATCTGGGCATGTGTCCTGACTGGGAATCAAACCAGCGACCTTTTGGTGCATGGGTCGATGCTCAACCACTGAGCCACACCAGCTGGACTACAATCGCTTCTTTACATGCTGAGGAAAGAACAGCATAGTTAGACATCATCTCTGTTAAAACAAAATTCACCCCTCTCCCAGGTTTCAACTCTGGAAAGCATTTCCTAATGGGAAGGGACAGTTAATCTGTTGCCATTACTCCATCTTCCTGAATTCCACCTCCCACTCGGCATTTTTCTCTTGGTTTATTGTTATCATGGTCACACTGGTCCCCCAGGAGTATACTACTTCCCTTTAAAGCTCTGGGTCATGCAAGGACACAGATCCTTTTCCTTGATTCATAGCCATCAGGAGGTGAACTTTTCACAATAGCTTTATGCTGCTACTGAGGGAGCATCAAGAAGCAAATAAGCAAGAGACATAAAACACAAAGCCAAGATGTAGTTCTGTGATTCTGCCATGGCTTTCTTATTTACAGGGCCCTGCTTCATTCCCTGAGAACTCTAAGGTTGGCCCAAGATCACAGATTTCTGGTCTGGCCCCTTTATCTTCCTACTCTTATTCAATGATCCTATGGCAGGTGGAACCTTAGCACACCCACCAGGCAGGCACTACCTCTCCTCACTTCCACAGAGTCAATGCCAATCAAGAGAGATTCCAGATTCTCAAATCTCCTTGGGTGATCCCACTCAGTTTATCTTTCCAAGTTGGGACTTGCCTTGTCTGTGGACGATTGGCCAGTGAGGGAATAACCCATCCTTCAGATACAACTCACTCCAAATATTTTGGCTATGTTCTGTATAGCCTCTTCCCCCCAAACAACACCTTAACTGTACAGTAAGCATGTCATGCTTCACAGTTAGAATTACACACAAGTGATTACTGCAAGAATTACTGCAAGTGATTGAATTGAATAAGGGTAGGCTATTGTAGCTGGTGAGAATGGTTATTTTTGATGGCTATCAGAGTTCCATCAACCTGTCAAAAAAAAATCTCTAAGCATCTCAAAAATATTTCTTATAAGTTGTATCTTCCATAAAATTTAATTATGCATATGATTCTGGCAGCAGTTCCATTTTGCTAGGTAATCAGAAGGGTTTTGAAATATTAAGAGAATGAGTGTTGTTGATAAAGAGACATCAGTTTATTTAATGAACAATTTAAGTGTATGACAAACTTGATGTGAAATTTAATATTTTATTGTGGTTCCAGAAGAAAAATAAACCAATAATAGGGAAATGCTCTTTGGGTGAAAGTAGACATGAAAAAATGATAAGCAATTAATTAAATATACTACTAAGAAAAAATGCGGGGAAATTGGAGGTTTACCTGGAACATTGATTTTCTTTCCTTATTGTCTCACATTCTTTTCTTTGGTATGATTCTGATATCTGCTGAGTTTAAGTGTGCCCTGTGTCTGCTGTAACTGAGCATTACTTTGCCTTTGAAGTCAAGTTGGGCTCCATTTCAATGGTAATTTGATTTACAAACTCTTTTCTTCTGCCACTCTACATAAATCATGGTGGTTTACACCATGGTAACTGGCTTATCTCATGGGCTTTACAAAGGACATCTGTCACATGATATTAATGGAGCAGTTTGCTTAAATAAAGGATACATAATCCATCAGCATAATATATTGGTATATAATGTGAAATATACATTCAGCATCCAGAGTCATATACATACTAATTAGTTTTACCCTCCAATATACTCAATAAATACTATCAAAGGTCCTTTGACACTATGGTTTTGAGAAACCTTCCCTATTTAATAGTTTATCTAATTTATAACCTACCCACAGTAGCCTGGAATTTTTTGCATTCAAATAGTATCTAAGGTATCTTTAGAATTATTCACAATCATAAAGTTGATTGATTTTTTAATACATTCATATTACATAGATGATGTTATAAAATTGAGAAGCATTTGTTTATCATTTTTAATGTTAAGGATGTAAAATTGAGAGTCATGTCTTTGTTGTCATTTTTAATGCTAAGGATGGATTTCACTGGTCAGCCATTTGTGACTTTAGACCTAGCACTCTCAATTAGAAAATAGATGAGTCACAAGGAGGGGATTAAAATTTCCCTCACAGTCAACCCATTGCCCTAGCCTTCAGTTAATAGGGATGGATGGGGTAGCAGGTGCTCCCCATAGAAATGCTAATGAAACTTTTCCTGGAAGAAATCAGCTGAGGCACCAGGAGGTAGAATTAATAAACCAGAGGCAAAATACTTGAAAAATGAGAGCAGTCACAAGGAAATCGGAAAGAAAAGAAGCCTTTAATATCTGCCCTACAGTCTTCCACGAAGGTTAGAGAAAGGCCCGTCTGACTTTATGACTTATTGGCTATCGCTATGCCTATAGCGCAACTGCCCATTTTCCTAATTTCTCCCTCGGTAGACGTCAAGGCCACTCTGCAACGATGCCTTCCAGATTCTGCCACTCAGAACCACGTTTTCTTTTATTCCCTTTTTATATTCTGTACATTTCTCGTTTTCTGCTTGATTATAAAATACTTTTTACCTGTTTCAGCCTCCCTCACCAGATCATGAACACTTGAAGGGAAGAGCTATATTTTGTTCATCTCTATACCTCTAATAGCATAACAGTGTGCGTAGGTATCATAGAGGTTTGTTGAATCAAGTGGAAGTTTTATCGTTTGGTGAAATTTTTATTCACATTGAATTAATTCATTTTATTCAATTTTATTTAGTTGAATTTATTTCAGAAAATGATCACCAGTCCCCTGCTATGTATTAGGCAGGATGCTGGGGACACCAAATGAATAAATCACAACCCTTATGTAAGGAAATTGTGTCTTCCTTAATCAAATTAAAATCCGGTTCCTACTAGATTAGCACTAGAAGTAAATGGTCACATGGGGAAGGGCAGCAAACCTTACAGACCTGACTCTAGATGTACTATCATCCAGGGCACTGGTCCCCAACCGTGGCTGCGCATTGGAATCACTGCAGAACTTTTACAGTGCTGATGCATAGGTATATCACCCAGGAATTCTGATTTAATTGGTCTGGGGTGTGGCGTGAGCATCTGAATTTTAAAAAACTGTCCCAGACAATTCTCCTATGCAATTCAGGTTATGACCTTCTTCCCTAAGGCAAAGGTTCTCAAACTTTAATACACAAAAGAACCATCTGGAGAGCTTTCTAAAATGCAGATTACTGGGCCTCATCCTCAGACATGCCGATTCAGTCCTTTAAAATGGAGCCTAAGCCCTGGCGGTTTGGCTCAGTGGTTGAGCATCAACCAATGCACCAAATGGTCCCCAGTTCTATTCCCGGTCAGGGTACATGCCCAGGTTGTGGGCCCAATCCCCAGTAGGGGGCTGCAGGAGGCGGCCAACTGATGTTCTCTCTCATCGTTGT